GTCAATCTGCCATGGTTTTGACCATGGTGGTTGCTGTTTCCCCATGGGGAATGATCCTCCATCCATCACTAGTCGTTTTTTGAGGTTTTCATATGCAGGCAGAAACTGTTCGGAAAACCACACAAAATAGCTGGTGGCTTGTTGTGAATCCGAATCGTGCCACATCATGCCATGACATTTACTGATCGTGAATGGCTTTGATTTCCAAGCATTTTTGGTGTGAATCCGAGGCGTACCAGGGCTAAACCACCTTGTATTTCTGGAAGTGGCGTTCCAGGATGACATCATGTGTGTGTGTGTTGTGTGTGTGTGGCTGCTTTCCTCAAGAACAAAAGGGGGTTTATCAAACAGGCAGACTGGGATAGAACCAACACGATTGCAGTGTAGCCGCTATAGAGCACCAGCGGGCCAGGTCCGGGACAGCTTGCGATCGTTGCTGTCAATCTTCAGAAGGCTCGTAATCTCTTCACTACTTCTATTTGGATGGCATTTGCCAAAACAAACACATTGCAAATCATTTCTTCCCGGTTCAAGCTGGTTCAAGCGAAAGCTCACAACCAAACAAGTTCCCGACGTTGGCAACAATTGAGCGGGAACTTGAGTCCATTCTTAGTTTGAGTTCAACTTTTTCAGGGCAACGTGACTTGAGTTCTGACAGACAACGTCACAACGTGTGCAAACAGTCGTTCTCAACTTGAATCTTTGCATTCTGCATCTCCACTTTTGATATCAGAGTATTTTATTCTTTTGAGACGGGTGAGAATGTTCATCACCAAATCATCAGGCATGCATCTACAAGCAGCACCGCATTGTGATGTGAAACGGCACCAGCAGAAAAGGATCGAGTGGACACCATCTGTTTGAGCACACATGATGTTTCTCAAGTCATGGGGGGGTCCCCAGTCGTCACCATGGTTGTTTCAAAGCTAAAATGGTCCTCCATGACTTGGATGATTTGGGGGTACCCCCCATTTTAGGACACCTCCATATAACTAGCTTGACCTTTCATGGAATATGTGCATGTTATATTGTAGAGCTTTGCACACCGGCGATGCCATAAGGGTTATGTATAGTAGTGTGCGCGTTGGTGTTGTTCATGTGCTCGGCGCGTGCGCGCAGGTAAAGAGCACAGTGTGATGCTCTTTTCATACCGCGGCTTGTAACCATCTTACCACACATTTTTTGACAACTTTTTGTGTTTGTTCTTTCTCTTGTTCTTGTTCTTGTTCTTGTTGTTGCTCTTGTTCTTGCTGTTGCTGTTGCCGTTGCCGCTGCCGCCGCCGCCGTGGTTGTGGTTGTGGCTGTGGTTGTGGTTGTGGTTGTGGTTGTCGTTGTGGTTGTGGTTGTGGTGGTTGTGGTTGTGGTTGTGGTTGTGGTTGTGGTGGTTGTGGTTGTGGTGGTTGTGGTTGTGGTGGTTGTGGTTGTGGTGGTTGTGGTTGTGGTTGTGGTTGTGGTTGTGGCTGTGGGTGTGGTTGTGGTTGTGGTGATGGTGGTGGTGGTGGTGGTGGTGGTTGTGGTTGTGGTTGTGGTTGTTGTTGTTGTTGTTGCTGTTGCTGTTGCTGTTGCTGTTGCTGTTGCTGTTGCTGTTGCTGTTGTTGTTGTTGTTGTTGTTGTTGTTGTTGTTGTTGTTGTTGTTGTTGTTGGTGTTGGTGTTGTTGGTGTTGTTGTTGGTACAAACAAAGACTGGGGCCCTCAAAACAAGCTACCCGAGCTTATTTTGGAATTTGCACGGTGTTCCTTAAGGGCGTCCATGGAGTTTTCCATTGTTTTGAAAAAGAATATTGGTGTAGATTTTTTTCTCCTCCATTGTTGTTTTTGGTCAAAGCTTCCTGGGCCCCTTGTTGACCGCTCAGCAGCCGAAATCTTGCAAAAAGGGGTCTGGCAGGGCCGCTTTTGATCACTATGATGCTGCTGGACCCCTTTTTGGCCTCCCAACGGCTGCAATCCTTCAAAAAGGGGTCTGGCCACGTATTTCCTAGGATCGGCTTGCAGACGCGTTCTTTTTGCCAAGTGCTGGGCCCCTTTTAGATCACTCAGTGGCCCAATTTCGTAAGAAAGGGAGCTGGCAGCTTCTATTTTGGAGTTGCATGATCCGACGTTTCGTTTTCCTGCTGCTGGACCCCTTTTTGCGCCGTCAGCGGCCTGGATCCTCCAAAAAGGGGTCCCCCGCAACCTGACCTCAGACTTGCTTCCTTTTCCTGCTGCTGGACCCCTTTTCGTGCCGTCAGCGTCCTGGATCCTCCAAAAAGCTGTAACCTGACTTCAGACTTGCTTCCTTATCCTGCAAAAAGGGGCTGCCCACTGGTGCCATGTTTCTGGAGCCACGTTTTCAGTAGCCTTGCCGCGCGGAGAGGCTGTACCTGCGTTATCCCTACCGGCTCATTCTTCTGCTCGTGGCCTTTCTGCTCTCTGTGTGGCAGTTGTTGTAGTGATATCCTGCTTCTGCCTATACATTTGCTGAGCATGGCTTTTATGCAGGGCTTCTCTAGCTCAGTCGGTAGAGCGCAAGGCCCCTTGGGTCTAAAAATCTTGCCGCAAGTGAGGCTGGGCTCTTGTGCCAATCTTGCTGCTGCTAGCCTTGCCGCTCAGAGAGAGTCATTGTTGTTGGGCTTTCTTTCTTTCTTTCTTTCTTTCTCTCTCTCTCTCTCTCTCTCAAAGGTTCCCCGCAACCTGACCTCAGACTTGCTTCCTTTTCCTGCTGCTGGACCCCTTTTTGTGCTGTGAGCGCCCTGGATCCTCCAAAAAGGGGTCTCCTGTAACCTGATTTCAGGCTTGCTTCCTTTTCCTGCTGCTAGACTCCTTCTTGTGCCGTCAGCGTCCCGGATCCTGCAAAAAGGGGCTGCCCACTGGTGCCATCTCTGCTGTTTCTGCAGCCGCCTTTTCAGTAGCTTTGCCGCGCAGAGAGGCTGTACCTGCGTTATCCCTCTCTGTTCATTGTTCTGCTCGTGGCCTTGCTGCTCTCTGTGTGGCAGTTGTTGTATTGATATCCTGCTTGTGTCTTTACAGTCAGGTTGCAGGGGACCCCTTTTTGGAGAATCCAGGACGCTGACAGCACCAAAAGGGGTCCAGCAGCAGGAGATTGAAAGGTATGTATGATTCTTGTTGTTGGGGGGGGCCCAAATAACAACGACAGGGTCTCAGTCTTTGTTTGTACCCCGTGGTGGAGAAAAAACGAGATATGGATTGAACACGGGGTCCCAGTGTTTGTTTGAACCTTGTTGTCGTTGTTGTTGTCGTTGTCGTCGTCGTCGTCGTCGTTGTTGTTGCTGTTGGTGTTGTTGTTGTTGTTGTCGTCGTCGTCGTCGTTGTTGTTGTTGGTTGTTGGTTGTTGGTTGTTGGTTGTTGGTTGTTTGTTGTTTGTTGTTTGTTGTTTGTTGTTTGTTGTTTGTTGTTTGTTGTTTGTTGTTTGTTGTTTGTTGTTGGTTGTTTTTTGTTTGTTGTTGTTGTGGTTGTGTCGTCCTCGTAGTCGTGGTCGTAGTTTTTGTAGCTGTAATGTAGTTGGAGTGGTAGTTTGAATGTAGCGTAGTTTAGGGTAGTGTGAGAATGTGTAGTGTAGCTGTAGTGTACTTGTAGTTTAGTTGAAGGTGTAGTGTAGTGTCGTTAGGGGTGAATTTTTTAGCTGTAGCTGTAGTAGTAGTAGTAGTAGTAGTAGTAGTAGTAGTAGTAGTAGTAGTAGTAGTAGTAGCAGGAGTAGTAGTAGTAGCAGTAGTAGTAGTAGTAGCATTAGTAGTAGCATTAGTAGTAGTAGTAGTAGTAGTAGTAGTAGTACTTGTTGTAGTTGTAGTAGTAGTAGTAGTAGTTGTTGTTGTTGTTGTTGTTGTTGTCGTTGGCTGTTGTTGGCTGTTGTTGGCTGTTGTTGGCTGTTGTTGGTTGTTGTTGGTTGTGATTGGTTGTTGTTGTTGTTGTTGTTGTTGTTGTTGTTGTTGTTGTCGTTGTCGTTGTCGTTGTCGTTGTCGTTGTCGTTGTTGTTGTTGTTGTTGTTGTGGTTGGTTGTTGTGGTTGGTTGTTGTGGTTGGTTGTTGTGGTTGGTTGTTGTGGTTGGTTGTTGTGGTTGGTTGTGGTTGGTTGTGGTTGGTTGTGGTTGGTTGTGGTTGGTTGTGTCTGG